CACACCCAGATGGGAGTGAAGCCAGGACTTTCAGCTGTAATTCAAGGGGTTTGACAAAAGTGGGACACTAACCCTTCAGGAAGTACAGCCAGTGCTGACTGTAGCTGCACCTTGACTTTGTTTGCATAAGATGGGGCACAGAGAAACTGAGACACTTTCAAGATTCTGTTATTTTACCCTACAATAATATACATATTCCTGGAATCCCTTCTATGCCTGTTTCTTGACCTTGTCTACTTTAAAGGGTTGGCAACAAACTTGAAAGCCGCACTACTCTCTCATCAGAAAGGCAGTGGACCTTGCCTTCTGGACCTGGAATATGATGATAGATCCTCAAGGCACTCTGATGTCTGCAAAACAAGTTGCCAGAGCACTAGTTCAGTATCAGTAGGAAGTGAATACACAAACAATGAACCTGCATAGTGCTGTGATACAGCTAGCACAGCAATTGGGACAAAGCTTACCTCAGCCTGGAGCAGCCCCACAAGTTGCTGCACAGCTAGTATTACTTTGTTCTCCTGGAAGTCTATTAGATAAATTTTGGGGTGGGGGGTTGAACACAAATTCCTGATTTTCAAAATGCAGGCAGAATTGGATTGGACCAAGGCCACCTTTGTTCCTAGTCTGCTGAAAGAAGTGGCAGCCAAATAGGTTGTGCTGCTCATTGAGGCAATCTTGCATTGTTGGATAATTGCAAGAACTTCAAGAAAAGATTTATAATTGCTTTGGACAACTCAGCTAGGAAAGCAACAGCAAATTGGGACATTCACAATCTGAAGCAAGGAAGTTGCTGAGTTCATGAATACATGGTTAATTTCCAGCTGTATGCCAGAGATGCGTATTGGACTGATCTTGTCCTGATTAATTGGCTTTGAGAAGGACTTTCTGATGAACCAAGTAAGACAAAGCATGCCAAATATTTGGAAGCACTGTTTCTTATTAATCGATGGGTGATTGTCAGAATTGAGTCACAGAAGAAATAATAGAGGCAGGAGGGTGTACAGGCTTCTGCCACCCCTAACTTCTCTCCCTGTGACCTGCTCAGGTGGTCCTATAACCACTATAGAACCCATGCAGATAGGAGCAGTGAAGAGATCCTTGTCTGCAGTGGGGAAATACAGGAGGGATCTTGGTTTATGCTTTTACTGTGGAGCTCTAGGACACTTGTCCTTCTTCTGAATTGGCTGGAAAGTGCCACACTTGTGGAACTACAGGTCACCTCAAGAGTAAATGTCCAAATTGCTCCAGAACAAAAGCTTCAGGAAACTCATCATCCAAATAGCTATTAGATGCAAGAAAAAATTTCTCTCCTCTCTCAAAAGTATCAACAGTCCCATTCTCTTCCTTCTCTTCCTCCTCCACCATTGTTTGAATTGCCTCCCTTGCCAGAAAAGTACAGATTTTCCTGAGGTTTGAGGAAAAGAGGAAGCAGCTGCCTTGCCTCCTCATTGGGTGTTATGATTGTACTGTCAACTTAAAACCTGGAGCCAGATCCCAAGTAAAAGGCAATAACCCATGTCCATGCAAGAGTTAATCACTTTAAAATAGTTTCTGGATAACAGTCTAAAGAAAGGATTTATTTACCCTTCTACATAACCATCATCTGCCAATGTTTCGTGTAAAAAAGAAAGATGATTCCTTGAGAGTTGTGCACAATTAGAGACTTCTGAACTCCGTAACCATTAGCAACCATTGCACACTGCCTCTTATTTCAGATCTGCTGGATCACTTTCAGAAGGCATACATTTTCACTAAATTGGATTTAAGAGATTACAGTTTGATCTGAATGGAAGAGGGCCATGAATATTTAACAGTTGTTTATCTTATAGCAAACCTGAATACACAAATTGGTTATTGCCCCATGGTCTTATCTAGATTCATGAATTAAATATTTTAATTTTAAATCTTTTCTGATATTTTAGACAAATATGTAGTGGTGTATGGGGATGACATCCTGAATTTTTCAGAGGGCCCAATCTTACATGAGCCTCAGGTCAGAAATGTCCTAAAATGCCTTCTCAGCCACAAGCTGTTTGAAGAAATATACATCTGATCTTCCCCAACTGGGCTATTTGAATTATCAGATCTCTTCAGAAGGAGAAGAAATGGATCCTGCAAATGTACAATCAGTTCTCACATAGCAAGTGCCTAAAAATATGAAAGATGTTCAACATTTTTTGGGCTTTGCCAACTTTATAGATAATTCATCTCCAATTTTGCAGAACCCACAAGACCACTCAATCAACTTCTGAAAAAAGAAATTTAAATGTTGTACTCAACAGCAAGTTACCTTGAAAAATCTCTTTGATCCCAATCACTACTCAGGCATCCAAATCCCACTCACCCCTTTACTGTAAAAAGTGATGCCCTAGAATTGGTTTTCGGAGCTGTTCTCTTGCAAGTTTTGGCAAAGGATGGGAGGATCTTTTGCCTTTCACATTTTACTCTAGATTCCTCCTCTTGGCTGAAAGAAACTATGATATTTTCAAGGAGAGATCTGCTGGCCATAAAAGCAGTATTCCAACAATGGAGGCATTTCTTGGAGGGAGCAACCCACCAAAAATATGGAGCACCTGCAAAAGGCACAGACTCTCATTCCATGTCAGATCAGGTGCATACATTTTTTTCCTGTTTCAATTTTTATATCAACTATGTTTCTAGTTCACAGAAAAAGCTGCTACATGCACTCTTGTGCAAACCTAAATATATCTATTCCCTAGCCATGTCACCATGATCTTGTAACAGAACAATTTTACTACCCACCCCCCAAAAAAACAAAGAGACACTCAGAGGAGCAGGCAGTAGATCTGTTGGATTGGATTTGCTTGCAACAACATGACCCATATGTCAGGGGTTGGATGCCGGGGAGCCCCACCAACCAATTCTTCTCCTTTCTCTATGACTGAAGGACTTATTTCACAATGGTCTTTTATATGTTCCTCTTCCTCTCAGGGAAGAGGTATTACAACTTTACCATGATAATAAAACTGTGGGACATGGGGTGAGTGTCCAAAACATTGCATCTTGTGCTCAGAAAATTTGAGTGAAAGAGTGAAAGCTGATGTCAAAGACTATGTTTCATCCTGACATGTATGTTGCTGAGCTAAGACTCATGAATAAGCCAGCTAGTTTGTTCCAACCACTCCCCTTCCATTCTGGACTGTGGGACATATTTTCCCTGGATTTTATTACTGATCTTTCAGCTGTAAAAGGTAACATGACCTTTTTGGTGCTAATGGATTTGTTTACCAAGATAGGTCATTTTTTTCCCAGCAAGGGACTATCACTGGCTTAGGAGACTGCCCAACTCTTTTTAGACCACGTTTTTTGATACAGAGCTTAATCAATCATGTGATCTCAGATTATAGTACTCAATTTACACCTATGTTTTGGAAGGCACTTTCCCACTTCCTGGCATTCATATTCATTTGTAATCCTCTCATCATTCATAATCTGATGGATAATTGCAGAACACAAACATATTACTTGAAGAGTATTTACACTGCTGTCTCTTATTAGCAGGATAATTGAATTACTGCCTCTTGCAGAATTTGCCTATTACTCATTGCATCAGCATGCCTCCTTTTCTACCAGTCTACAGTTACCACCCTTGGATCTTGTCCTCCAGAGCTCCTGCCTCCATTGTTCTTCAAGCCTTTGACTTTCTCCAGGAGAGAGAGGCTGCTCTTAAAGAAGCAGTTCGATTTGGCCAAGGCTGTATACAAAGGTACAGCAGATGTACACAGACAAGATTTTGCTAAGTAGTGGGGAATTTGTGTGGCTTTCCACTAAGTATTTGCTTTCCTCCAGCCTAAGAAGTAGGGCTTGTGCTACTTAGTATGCATTTAGATATTCCAACTGGACACTGTGTGGATAAAATGCTGTAGGAAGCAAAGCATTGGATTTCAAAGCAACAACTTGAAAAATGAAGGAACAAGAAATTGAATTACAAGGGTTTCTATGAGTGGAGCTTGAAGAGATGCAGAGCAGACTGAAGCTTCAGAAGGAGGGACTGAAGAAGAAAAATGGTATTAGCTAGGCTAAGCAGATCATCCACAGCCACACCCAACCTCTGTATACCTCTCCTGGGCCCCATAGAGAAGCAGTAAAAATGCTAGTACAGCCATAAAAAGACTTGGAATACAAAGAAATGTTGATTACAAGGAGAAAGGATATTTGAAAGCAAGGAAATCTATGGGAAGCAAGGACAAGGAGGATAACAGGAAGAAACAGAAACACCAGACATTCATCATTATTATAACACACAGTCTCTATAGTTTCAATAAACTTTTGTTTTTGTAGTTCCACCTTCATTATCTCTATCTAGACCTCACTATCTCTGATCTCATAACGTACATGTATATTCTAATTTACATAAACCTATATCAAGAGGTTGCATTCTCTGCTATTACACCGGTTCTAGTCTTTGGTACATCAAAATAAACTGCAATTTATGCTTCTATGGATGGGTGTTCTGATCTCCATTATTAAATGAACTCATACAGGATAAATTTCTCCTATGCAGGTAACTGACATGAGTAATGGAAAATAATGGAAGACAATAACTGCACATATAACTTGTAACGAGCATGGCCTATATGAAGGAAAGGTCTCTCAGATCATAGGAAATAAATCAATTTTCCCTCAAGCACTCCACAAGAAGGCCAAATAGTATCCAAGGGTACCTATATCCCCATAGGCATTTCTTTTGACTCCTCTAAACACCATATTCCACCTCACTTCTTTTTAAATAATCCTTTAGTTTAAACATAAATAGGAAGTTGGCCTGCAGCAAAGTAAGGTTTCAGCCTCTAATTTTGTCTTTATTTATAAGAGTGCCTCAGTCCCCACATAAACCCCATGGTCATTATTTCAAAAGTAACAAACAGCTTTGTTTGAAAGTTTGCCCACCTGCCCAGTAAAAAACAAAGTTGAGTTGAGGTAGTAGAAAGCATTCTGGGGGTTGGGCTAGAGCAATGATGGAGAGACACATAATAAATTCTAGCAAATGTATGATTTATGATTGGTCATTCAAAATGGAAGCTCTTTTCTCAGATTGCCCACAACATGCCCTCAAAATTCCAAATGTCCCTCCCAGTTCCAGAATATTGTCTCACTCTACAGTACTCTTTGCCTGGCTGCTATCTATTAAAACAAAATAACAACCAGGCAAAATTCATTCTCCAGTAAACCATAGACTAACAGAAGATTCCTCAGAGGAATGAAAATGGAGGAACAGGTGATAGCTATGAACTGGGGACAAAACATAAGATACATACAGCAGCCGTAGTGAATGGAGACCTTCAAAGGCCAATGAGGGGATACACTGTAATGCGTTGTAGCTGAGGATCCTAGGTGAAGTTGGAGAGAGGTAGAAACAATTTGAATAATCACATGTTGTGTAAATACAACCCACACATTGACTGTATCCTTGATCCCCCTCCCTAGTATTAGTTTTGCAAGATGCACTAATGGATAACTCATATAAAAATCTTAAATATTTGGAATCAGAATCTCTCTCCCCATCAACCCCATTTTGGACAGGCTATAAACCACCACTGCTTTGCACAGTAAAAAGCTGTATAGCAGATGCCATTATTAAGTCTCTGGGAAATCCACACAACCGCCTTGCCCTGGCACAAGGAAGGCCCACTAACAGTTTCCTGAGAACATAATTTTATGCCTCTGCCTGTATCTCAGTGTCTCCCACAGCTGGCTTAAGGATGCTTTAAGGTGCTACACTCTAGTAGTGGCATTTACCCTAATATCCCACCTTAACACACTGTATGCAGGCAATGTAGGGTGCATTAATGGGCATCAGGGAGGTGGCCTGAAATGACATGCTCTGTGATGGCAATCTTGTGACTCAAATTAGTTCTACTGGTTTCCTATGAGACCACCCTCTTCAGTCTGGTCTCTGACCCTTTTTCCACTCTAAGTCCTCTTTTGGTTGTAAGGGAAACTGGAACTCCAGTTTTTTCAGCCACTTTTGGGGGGGGGACTGGGGGGGTGAACTGGTCCACCTAGACAGGGGGAAGTCTTGAAATTGACTAGCTCATGCCTCACTTGACATATGGAATCAAAAGTGTAATCCAAAGAATTGGCTGTTCTCCTTCTCTTGCCTGCCTAGCTAGGAATTCCCTACTTAGTGGCCATTGTTCCCAGGGATGCCCTGGGACCTTCCTTCTTCTCTTTACAGTGTTCCCAATCAATCTCCACAGCTACACAATTTCTGTTTGCTACCAGATGGCAGCCACCAGATACAAAAACTAACATTTTGCTGCTACCTAATGGTTTGAACCATAGAACAATTGACCAGTTGACCTAACAGAGTGTGAAGCCCTAAAACTAATTAGACAACCCTGGCTTAATGTATCTAGTTGGTGATACATACAATACTAGATGGTAGCCAAAAGATAACAACCCTCTTTTCTGCCACATAGTGGTCAATAGTCAGTCAACCAGTTGTCCCACATTTGTTTCAAAAAAACAATAGGCCACTGGGAAAAGAAAAAAAAATGGTGTGCATGGAGTAATTACAGCAGTATGCATTCTAAATGGAATAGGTTTTTCATATTTTAGATGATGCTGGGCTGGGCTGGAATTACAGCCAAATCACAGGCCTTGGGATATATTGCATTAAATCTGGATGGCCAGCAGCTCAGCATAGGTGTGTTCCAGGTACCTGATAAGGATGTTCTACAGGAGCAGCAAGAGTTTGGAGAACATGATTTCCTGCTAGCTGTAGGGTGGGAGGGGAACATGGCAAAACAGCTCTGTGGATGTGGCCTTTGCCCATGTTTCCACCACAGGAACCCAAAGATATCTCTCCCTGCAATCTGAAATAGCGCTTCTCTTTTTGATTCAGCTCTGTTAAAAAACACTCACAAAGTGGTCAGTTGGCTCATATTGGTGAAGGAATTGTTGCTGAGGAAGCTGATCTTATTGTTGCTCAGGTCCCTGCAAAACAGAAGCATAGTGCAAGTTCTAATATCACTTATATCTTTCTGCAATGCCATTCTTCCCTCCTCTCATTTCCCAAGCCAAAATCTGCAATCCTCTGCAACTGTAGTTCCAGTACATCCATCACATATACTGATAAGTTTGCTTTGTCCTTTGACAGAACTTTTGTGCAAGTGACTGCATGATGTTAGTTAACTCTTCTAAGCCCTGGTCTATAAGATATTGCCAGAACCATTGTTGTGCAGGAAGAAAGACATTTAAGGGCATGTATGCTCTGAATGTTACAAAAAGGGCATAGCATTTGGACAGGCAAATGTTCTCCAAGGATAGGTAATCTTAGAACCTTTGTGTCACAGGTTTGTTTAATATCCAAGGGTAGGTTATCCAGACTCATCAAGATATTCCCAAGGAGACGCTGCACACACACACAGGCTTTTCTCTCCCCTTTTATGTTGGGGTTCCTTTACTTATAAAACCAATATGCACAGTACCAAAAGTGTTCTTTTTTTCTACCCAGGTGTCCCACTGATACAGTTTTCACCTAATCTATATTTCTATTGCTCAGCTTACTCTTATACTACTCTAACTATTAAACTACTACTATCCCTAGAATATCTACTACTATTTCTAGGTACTAATGCTCCTGGCCTTTCCACAAATCTTGACTGTTACTCTCTCCCTTGCTTCCTTCTGCCTCTCCTCTACACACCAAAACACCCACTACTACCACACCCAGCTGTTCCAAACACGGGGCTTTTTATACAATCTCTCCCCCATTTGGACGCTGAGGTGTTTTAGAATTAAAGGGGCAGGCACACAATTCCAGCTGCCTACACTCTTTTCCAACCCATCCTTCCACACTTTGCTATTAATTTTAGGATAAAGCTTTAACCATATTTTACCAGACAGAAAGTAAAATAAATAGGTAAAATTCCACCTGCTGAGTTTCTCAGGTAGATAATAAACCAAGTGAGGTGCAATAGTCCAGATAGAAAGAAAATATTATTCTACACTGCACAGAAAAACACACAGAATCACATCTGGGAGAACAGTCATGAGAATGAGGATCTCCAATCACTTTAAGAATTGAATCTGATTTCCTAAAAGTTTCTAACACACTGTTGTAGAAGCAAAGCCACTTTGATTTTCTAGGTACTTCAAAATACTGAGAACATAAACTCAGTGGGGGTTATCGAAAGACCTTAGTATAAATAGAAGAGAATATATGTAGCTCAGGGTTGAACTGTGGAGTCCTTGGTGCTCTCTGAGCTTGGTTGTTTGTTTGCAGACATTTCATTACCCAACTAGGTAACATCATCACTGCAGGAGAGTGTGCAGCTTGCCCCCCATTTATATATAGTGTTGGTGGTAGAGTGTTTTTCTCCTTGGTAGTTCCTTGATTAGGGTATTGTTTTCTGCTTGATTGTTTGTCT